GGGGTCATTAACGCAAACTAATCAGCCCTCAGACGGAGAGACGGAGGGAGAGGCCGAGAGCCGGGGCGGAGGAGAGAGTAAAACACAGCTCCGAGCGAGTCGCTGTAAAAACAAAAAGGGGGCGACAGGGAAAACTAGTATGAGGACAAAAACTATCCACGTTGGCAATCAAAGGCAATGTCAACTTGATTAAAAAAACCCAGGTTGAATTATAAATAAAAAGTGAACATTGCAATAGATCTGTTGGCGACAGAAGGGTGTATGGAATAACATTCCACCTCCATGCGTACGTGCCTTTGTTAGCGTACAGTCAGCGTTTGCATACACACACACACACACACACACACACAAGCCCAGATGGACAAGACGCTTATTCATGTCCCACTGGTCTGTGACAGGTACTGAGAAGTCCAAGGGAGAAAGATGTATTTATTCTGGTATCTATGAGTCTGAAGGAGAGGAAACAAGCCCTACATGACCTCATGGCTCATTTGGTACGTTGCATTCACACACACACACACACACACTAAAACACAAAAACATGCAGAGACAAAGACAAGCCAGACATTACTGCTGTGCGCGGGCCTCCAGTTACAGAAGAATGGAATAAATACTACACACACAGACACAAGGCTAGAAAAATACTTTCCGGGCCGCTTGTTGAGCTACAAATTAAGCAGCAGAATACTAAATCACCTTGAGCAATTTGCATGACCACGAGTGCATCAAACTGCTAATGTTAATGACACCCTCCACTTCAAGGAGAGAGTTGTAGTTACTACTTTGTCATTCACAGGCCAACTTTCCGCTTCGTTATTCCTCGCCGTATGTGTGTGACCTCTCCCTGAGCTCCTCTCAGAGTGTGGCTGACCTCTGCGCGTCTTTCTCCACCATGAACCGCGGAGGGACTCCCGAAATATCTAATTGTATTCATTCATTTTCTGTGCCCCGGCAAAGGAGAGACTGACAGAGAGAGGGAGGAAGAAAGGAAGGGAGGGAGAAAGAGACGGGGAGAAGGCCGAGTAGCCGAGAGGCAACACGGGAGAAAGGCGAGGAGGAATATGGGGAAGAAGAAAGGGCATAGGGGGGGAGAAAGGAAGGGAAGGGCCGTCTCTTCGGCATTACGGCTGAGACACCATTAGAGCCACTGGCTGTCCCCTCATTAGAATAAATACTCACAAGCAAAGACAGTCAGAGGGCAGGAACTGGAGGGAAATGTCCCTGTATTTATCTCAAGCTGAAGGAAGGACGAATACAACTTCAAGATTTCCTGCACTCCTCTAAAACTGTCCCTCGAAGTAACTTTTTCTGATGGGCTAAATGCTGAGAAGGTATGTTAAAGAGAGACGTCCGAACAAACAGAGGAGGTAAAGGGGTTTAGAATAAAACGGGTTCATGCTGGAGTTGATACACATCAGTGGACTGAAGCCAACAAGACACCATGGAAAATCAACCCCAGACAGAGCCGTGGCACCGCCAACGCAAACTACGATACACTAAACCAATGAACACTAAACTACCGATTGTTTTTACTTCTGACCGCTGGAAAACCAAATAGAGGAACTTCTAACCTGCAGAAAACATTTAGCAGACTGAAGGTTCCATTTCAGACACAAAAAGTTGTTATCTGAGATTCCACATTCAACCCCACTGCTAGTCTCAGCTGCACCAGTATGTTTTGTCTACCATTGATTCGAAACCACAGCAGAAGTAGCCCTTTCACTTATTTTTGTCTACAGTTCAGACTTTCCCCAATCATTTCTGCAATACAAAAATTCAAAACGAATTGTAGGAAACGGGTGTGACAAAGTTTGCAAGTAAAACTGTTTTTCGCTGCCATTTCCATGAATGGGTTTCCATTTCTCTCTGAGCATTTCAGGTGATCAAGTGAGCGGAGCGCACAACGCATTGCACACGCTGATGTGAAACGTCCAACTTGGGCACAATGATTTCAGAGCAAAACAGACATTGTGACAAAACCAAACTCAAACTGCAGCTTTAGTGTGATGGATCATCTCGCTATCGGCCAATTTTCAAGTCAGCGGAAGCTGCAGTTTCCTAACAGTGCGAGCAAATGAATGGCAACAAAAAGGCTTTTTTCTTTGGACGTAGTGAAAGGAGCTGTGTTCAGACACCAACAAGAAAGAATGTAAAGAGCAAGTCAAACATCTTTGAAGTTACCTGCTAACATCATTATTACAAATTACATTATCAATTTGGATGTTTCCGTCATAAAGTAACGTGTAACGTTGGCTCAAATGTGCCTGTTTCATTACGTGCGTGGGGCATTCACACGGTGAATTCTTGGAGCAGCCGATATTTCGGTGTGACTGTGGAGCCAATTTATGTTGTAGTGCCACAACAGCTTCCTACAGTCGCCTAATGCACGGAGAAAGGGAGTCAATATTTATTATCCGAGTCATCAATGAGACAAGTTTGCTATCTCTCCCGTCTCCTCCCTGCCGTCGTGTTACCTTTCTTGCTTCCTGCCTCGAGCCAGAGGGGTGAGCGTCAGACTAACTCTATTTAGAGTAAGTAGAACGGAGTGACTGGTGTTTCGCAGCATTACAGCCTCTGTGAAGACCTGTTTTCTTTTCCTCGGGCGAGTCAGGCTCAGGAAGATATCTATTTCTCAGATGTGACTACGGACGCAAAAGAGAGCAAAAGACACAACAAGCATGCAGCCAAGTGGATCACAGAGTTCTTGTTTTCTCCCCTCTCTCAGTGTGAGTGTGTCAGATCTGAGATTAACAGATTTACTTAAATTTCCCGTCTTTTTTGTTTTTTTTTTCCTTCACTAGAACTGAGAAAACTTGTCAGCACATCTGGAAGATATCAACTTAACCGAGCGGCGGGTCAAGTAAAAAGTTTTCTGTCGAAAAAATAAAATAAAAAAATACAGTCTAAGGAAAGTCTATCAACAGCAGGGATCTAGATTCAACTTCCAAATTGTGTTTGCGTCTATTGAGGAAAAGCGGTCCATAAATAAACAGCCGGGGCAAGTCAGAGTAAAGACCAAGACCACAACAGTCACGGTCTACGGTATATCAGGCCGAGAATCTGCGCACCCTGCTGGACCGGTCCCGGCTTTCAGGAGAGGGCTCTCAGTCAGCCGTCCGTTTGTACCCCTGACCACTAATTGCTTCAAGCAATAAATCATGTTTTGCCCGAAACTTCAAACTGAATATAAATAGTTGTGCAACAAATTCGGCTTGTGCTATTAATGGCTTTGTGCGCACTCGGAGGCTAAGCTGTGGATTTTATTCAACAAATACTAAGTGCCGTTGGCAGTTGAGCGAAAGATCTCTGTAAACTCAGGCAGCAGTGTTTAGACTTAATAAGTCGGGGACAAGGCTGTACAGTCTGACTCTATGAGGGACTTTTAGTGGCAAACGCTGTCTCGACAAACATGTACACTGAACACTGACTCGAGTCTGTCCGAGCAGAGAGTGGTTCAACTAGAACAGTATCTGAGAAACTTTTATTTCTACTTTGCTGAGGTTCTCTGAGTGAACGGCACATAAAATCCTCACTTCACTATTAACAGTGCTGAGTCTTCTAATGTTGTCCTTTTATTAATATGAAGGAAAAGTGAAAAGCGTACACGTTTTACTCCTAAAACATTTAATATTTAAATAAACTGTTTGAGTATTATTATTTTAGGATGTATGGACTGCTCACTATGCAAAACAAATGGGGAAAAAAGTCCGTTTGAAGTTTAATTTGGGGAAACTGTTCATTTTAGAAGGAGAAAGCTGTACACTGTCAAAAGTTTTGCATGGGAAAGTCCATGGTTTCAACACGACACTTAGAGTACAACAAAAAACTTTCACACTGTTAAATAATAACTCTACACTGGGTTTTATGATCCAGAATTAGTTTGCTTTATTTCTTATTCATTTTATCACATCTCTAAAATCAAATTTTATTTTTAAACCTCCTTACCTAATTTCATTGGATTGTGTTGTTTTGTTTTTGTACTTTACAAAGCTCCACATGTCAACAATCCAAAAGTATAATGCTGCACAAAACAAGAGCTGTATTGCGTTGGCTTCTGAACTACAACGAATACAATTTTGCTCAGAGAAACGTTCCCTCACAGAAAAAGTGATTCAAAAAGTATTTTAAAGATGAATAGGTGGAAAAAGTTAAAAAAAAAAAAAAAAAAGCTTACTCAAAGAGGAGTTTGTCAGTTTCTGTAACTCCACAGCCATGGTGCCTTTATTATATCCATGAAGCACTCCTTTATGTAGCTGTGCTGGGACCGCTGCGTGCCCATAATTTGCATTATGATAACTGTACTGAATTGGGTGAAGGAGCTTTTTTTATATTGACTGATATTCTCACAGACTTCATTTAGGATCGCTAGTTAGGGACGAAGCCACACAGTAAACACCCTCAACACAGCACCGCATTCAAAAGCTGTCCCCCTCACACAGGTCTGACGCGTTTGGCCCACAATTTAAGTTAAGTCTGAAGTGAGTCAACGAACGGCCACATTACACGGACTTTCATGGTGATCGTTAGGCGCTTAGCCTCGTTGAGACTATAGTTAGATACTGCTGCTCGTGGGTCCAGTGGGGTCGTGTAAATAAATGGCTTGAGAAACAACACAAGATAATGCTCTGAACCAGAATAACTCATAATGAAACGGACGGCATTGACAGCGGGTGCAACACCACGAGATGAACGTTGTGTCCGGGGCCTTATTACGCACGGGGTTTTAATCTATGGGTTCCTCGAGGGACACGCTGATAATCAGCAGCCATTGAAAAATAAGACACGGTGGCGGGGTTTTTTTACGCTCCTGTCCCTTTCCTCGGTTACAGCCTGTACCTATACAGCTACTGGCATTATGCCCTCACTGCGGTGAATAAACACCGATGTGGTCCAGCAAAAACCTGCGAGCCCCGTGGTTCATGCAGATGCGCGGGAGGGGGACGGGAGCGTCACCGACCCTCCGCGGCAGAAATAAACCCGCCCGGTGTGAGGCCACTTACTTGGCGTTGGTCCGGTTCCAGAAGACGGCGTAGCGGTCGGCCACCACTTTGGAACTGGGCTCCTGGCTAAATACACACATCAACAGCACCAGGCAGAGGAAGATGACCATTTCCATTTGCAGCATCACTACGGCGAAACTTCGGCACGTATTCCTCTTCGGTGTCGTTTCAGTCAGTCGGGTTGTACACTGGGCGCTTCAACCGGTACAGGTGATGAGCGTCTCATTCACATACGTGGCCGCTGGCGCAGTTTGTGAATGCTGAACAAATTACAACAACAAAAAAATGCGCGCGACGTGGAAAGAAAATAGCGACAGGAGAAAAGGCGAGGACGTGACCATTCGAAGGGGGACACTTGTTCGGGTTGACGGGGATTTAAAGTTGCCCACAAACAAACAAAAACGTCTCGTCTCCCTGATGCGGGTCGATTGTCCGGGTGGATCACAGGCTTTTTTAATGTCACGCAGGATGTCAGCTCTGACAAAATATGTCTCCCACCTAACGCGCACAAACAGCGAGAGCAGCACACAACAAATGCGCAGCACAACAGGCACTGTCTTGGTGGTGGTGGTGGTGGTGGTGGTTCCCTCTGATGCAGGGAGCTACTGGATGTAGCCTGTGTCAGGGCAAATGACAACTGCCGAACACTTCTTCTTACTCCACGGCCAAAGCGCAGGGGGGATTATAGTCAGTCCACGGTGTGATGGAGAAAGGAGGGAGAGGGAGGGAGGGAGGGAGAGAGAGAGAGGCTCAATGTGTCCAATGACGCCGTGTGCCGCACGTCAGATGTCCATGTTCTCCATGCAACTTTTTAAAGCCATACAGTCAGTCAGCGGCTGGCAGATGAATGAATGGTGACGTGAGACTCGGTCTTTCGCCTTCGGCCTTAAAAGAAAAAAAAAAAAACAGAAAAAAGACTGTTATCCTTTCTCGGTTATGTGCCAGAGGTGTCACGGCCGAGGTGGGGAGGAGTCCTCGGTGTCGGTGGGAGAACGGACAGCGTTGTGTTTTCTCATGCGCTTCTCTCCGCGGAGACGCTCGTTGATGTCCGCATCCCAAAGTGTCGTCCTCATATGTAAGTCATCGTGCGACGTGCAAGGTTTTCTGAAGGAAGAAAAAAGAAAGATCTCGCGTTCTCCCGCATGTGCGGGTGGTTCTTCCTCGTTCTGGTGTTTTGGGTTTTTAAGACGCCGGGACACGCAAGGAAGGTGAGGGCAAAGACGGGCAGGCAGGCAGCTCCAGACGCCGACTGAGAGAGTGGGTTTGGTTACGGCGGAGCGGGGGATAGTCCCATTGGTTTGAAATGATTTGAATGGGCGTCACTCGAACAAAGCCAAGCCCCTCCCCCAGCCCAAAACCGAGCTAATTCAATTACCGAGAGGTAGAGCTGGAAGGGGACGGGGCGAAGAGGTGCACAGGACAGGGACCGCTTTTTAGAAACTCCACTGTCAGATCCGACCGATAAGTGCGCACAGCGCTATTTAATTACATGCAAGCGGACGCAGCGAAGCGCAGAAGACCATGGAATCCAGTTACTCTCTCTCAGTTCAATTGAACTCAATTTAAATTTGCTTTTTTTCTAATGACGGGATAGAAGCCTGGATCTAAACAGGGTCATTTATATAAAGTCATCAGGTAATATGATACTATATGGCATCATAAATAACCATGGAATTTGTTGCAATTGGGCTGTTCCACCGATTCAACGATAGTCTATTGTCCATTATTTTTCTCCCCAAATAGTTCCTACTTCAAAGCGATGTTATGCTTATATTTAACTATGATTGTGAGAAATTCAACTGCGAAAAAAAGGTTACATTCCACAGGTTCATGAAGACAGAGAGGCGGAGAGTGCTGGTGCCTCCCTACCTCTTTGTGATGGCGTAATGCTGAGAGATGACGGCCATGCTTGGACTCCGGGAAAACGTACGTGACAGGGCAGCCTGTTGCGGGGAGCAGACTCAAGGGGTTCAAGGCGCCGCTCCAGTGCCCAGACGCCCCGCAGTGGCGAGCGGGCGGGATAGCTTACTCAAATCGGGGACAAATCCAAGTTGGAGGGGGCCGGGGGGGGGGGGGGGAGGGTCTGTCGTCGCCTTAAATCAGACAGGTGCTCACAAGGAGGATTTATGAAACTTAAGAAAATGAGCAGCAGGCCCTACATTCAGGTGGGAACTCCCTAACGAGAATAACTGTAACATGAATGCATACTGATACAATGTGCGCAACGTCTCGGGAGAGTAGTGACCAGGCCTTCTGGCATGTTAAATAAACATCAAGTCTATATTTCTGCAGATTTAGGACTGTTAGGTGGAATACGCTTTTTAAACTGCATTTGTGTGCGCGCGCACCTGCGTGTTTCAAAAGTGAGGAATTCGATGTGACAAATACGTTGTTGAAAAGGCAGGTGAACTTAATTATAAATGATGCCTATATGTCACGTAGAGCAGTAATACAGTCTAGAAAAAAAATGTTTGAAGTTGCAGTAGGAAAGTGCAAAAGCATACACGAACAAAGTGGTGGGAGTTGAAATGTGAATCTAAAAATAGTATGTAATAAAAGCAATACAAATATAAGGATAAAACCTAAAAAGGTATTATTCTAAAGAGGTAATTGAAGACTTTTTTTAGTATGCTCTTCTTTGCCTCCCCTCTGCAACGTGTCTGTCAGCCAATAATAATATTAGAAATATTTGTTTTTAAATAAAAAGACCTCCGATTTTACATTAATATTGTATCCTTGTAAAGTCAAGAAAATCAGATGCAGTTAGTCGCAAATGCCTACTGTGTGTGTGTGTGTGTGTGTGTGTGTGTGTGTGTGTGTGTGTGTGT